TCCACAGATTCACAGATCCACAGACAGAGACCGAAGGGGGCTGTGACGCCGACTATGGGTGTACACCGTGTACACGCCGATACAGCGATCGGTGACCGAATGATCGGGATACCTGATAGGGATGATTGGATTCGGGATTAACGGAAAATGACCCGATGACTGATCAATGATGATTGCCCGTAGGATCAATCGAAAATTGATCGAGATAAATGGGAAATTGATCAGTACTACTGATCGAAAGTTGACACCATGGGGAATCGAGGTTGGTCGGAAAACGATGGGAAATATCGAAAATACTTTACAGGCGTACACAGGTTTGTTAGAGTTACTGCTCCGGCTCCGTCGAGAAGCGGACTCATGTCAGGGGCGGTTTTAGGGGGTGGGGGAAGTCCCCTCGGTCGGCCCCAGGTGAGACGCCCGAAAGTAGGCAACATGCGCCTGCATATACCGTAAGACATGCCAGTATGTTGGGTTGCCTATGCACTGGCTGCAGGGGCAGGCAATTTGTTCTACAAAACCCCTGTATGTAGGCAACCCACAGGACATCGCCCCCCCTGTCGCCCCCCTCTTATACCGCGCCTGCCTTAATACGCCCCTGTGCAGGGGCAGCATGTGCGTGCGGGTGGTGGGGGAGCTTCCAGTACATAGGCAAACCAACGCACTGGCATGTCTTAGCCTGGACACCCGGTAGGCAACCCACACGACATCGCCGCTCCCGTCTGCTGAGCTTCAAACCGCCCCCTGAGCGGGCACAGCGCGAAAGGGTCGCGTCCGGAACACTGTGTCACTGGGCCTGCCTGCGTGCCGTCTGCCGGCCGTGGTCGTGGTGCTCGCGTCTGCCCTTCCGGTGTGGGCCGCGCGACGGGACGGGGACGGGCGCAACACAAGCGTGACGCCGCCCAGCCCGGCCCGGCACTCATCGCGTGTCTGTCTCTCTCCCGCGCACGGAGCGAGCGTACCGACTGTCTTGGCACACTCGTTTATGCTCGAATGTTGACTTTATTAGTGTCCGAAACCATTGGACTGCGCTCGCCCGTTTCACTCGACAGGAGATTTTTATTTTTTGTGACTGGAACCATCCGCGTCTTTTCATTGATGTCGATGTCAAACCGATGAATCTTTTTTTAAGCATAGGTGGCAGACACGAAGAGGTGTTGATATTGAGCAAAGCGGTGATTTGGCCCGCTGTGACTAGTACCACAACTAAAGCGCATAGCCCTCCGATGCTGCGCTGGAGGTGGGGGAGGCAAACGGGGGAGCAGAGGGGAGAGGGGGAGGGAGGTGCAGAGATGTGCCCCTGCCACAACAGTACGGCCGGGCCGCCAGCGCGCTGTAGCGCCAGTCAGTCAGCTCGCCTCGCTCCGCTCGGCCCCGCTGCCGCTCACTCGCCCGTAGGCCCGCCGCACAGCCGCCCCGCGGAGTGTGTCGCGGTGCTCTGCTCGCCCGGGCCGCCGTCGCGGACCTCGCGGCCGTCAGAGGGAGCCCCGCAGCGCCGCCAGCGCAGCCAGCCCAGCAGCCCAGCAGCCCAGCAGCCCAGCAGCCCAGGGCAGCCCGGAGGTAACGGCGGCCGCAGAGGCGGGGGAGGCGTTCCCAGGAATCATTCAAATGACAGCCTCGGCCATCACGATCTGCGGCGCGGCGGCCGGCGCGGCCGGGCCTGGGCAGCACGTCCCGCGGAGGCGATGAGTCGCCGGCGAGCAGTGAACAGTTAGCTGCAATAAGGCCTCCAGGGTGCCGGTGCTGCGCGGCCGGAACCTCGCGCCTGCTTATTGCTATGTTGCTGGCACCGTCTTTTCGTCGCCCCGTTCCCAGGATATTGAATCCGGCGCGGCGCCCCCTACAGGAGACGAGCGGCCCACTTCAGCCGCATGTTTGGCGTCTTGCCCTTCACCGTCGCACACCTCGTCGCGGCCATCCCGAGCAGGGAGTGTTCCGCGGCCGCGGGCGAAAAGCACCCCCCCCCCACCCTCCTCCTCGGTCTCCACCCGCACCGCTGGCTCCCGGACCTCGAGCTCAGATCTGACCCGAGATTCGTCGCGATGTGATCTGGAATTTTCTCTTCTGGGTAGGCTGCGGTGAGAGGAGACGCGGCGGCCGTGGCGTGGCGTGAAGCACGCAGCGCGGAGCGGCTGACCCGCACTCAGCCCGGTGATTGGCGGGGATGTGACCGGCATTGTTGTTTATTTTATTTTTACTGGCAACTGCTTTCCGTCCTTCCCTTTGAAGTTGCATAGAGTATGACATCCGCACTCGGCGCCAGGCCGCCAGGCTCGCTCAGCCGTGCCGGCAGAGGGAGAGAGAGAGAGAGAGAAAGATTTAGGTGGGGGAAGGGGGGGGGGGGGGCAAGAAAGGGGGAAAGGGGGGGGAGGAGAGGTTCTGATGTGATTTTCCGTGTCGGATGTGTCATTATTGTGTGCTCCGTGACGGTCCCGGCCTAGCCCTGGATAACGCGTGAAAAAATC